CCTATGAAAAGGCAACCAAGCACACAAATGAAAGAAATGTAATCAAAAGAAATGAAATCAATAATATCTTTTTACCTATCAGATTGGTAAAGATGGGGAGAAAAAGACTGATTCATTTATTTTATTTTTTTAAAGATTTTATTTATTTATTTGACAGAGAGAGAGAACACAAGTAGGCAGAGCTGCAGGCAGAGACAGAGGGAGAAGCAGGCTCCCCGCTGAGCAGGGAGCCCGACGCGGGGCTCGATTCCAGGACCCTGGGATTATGACCTGAGCTGAAGGCAGATGGTTAACCGACTGAGCCACCCAGGTGCCCCAAGACTGATTCATTTAGTTAGTACTAAGAGCACATACAGAAATGGGTATCCCGTAACATTTAAGTTTACATATGAATATCAGAAATGCATAGTTTTCCCCAAACTTCATAATATCCAATACAGCATCCAGATAAATAGTTACTAAGTATGCCAAATATGAAAAATTCTTTATAAAGAATAAATCTTAGAATATACATCTATTGGGGTGCATGGGTGGCTCGCTCAGTTAAGTGTCCCAACTTTTGATTTCGGCTCAGGTCATGATATCGGGGTCCTGGAACTGAGCCCTGCGTCAGGCTCTGTGCTTAGGGTGGAGTCTGCTTAAGATTCTCTCTCTCCCTCTGCTCCCCCCCCACTCACACACGCTCTCAATAAAATCTTTAAAAATATATATATTACATCTATTAATTATAATCTAATCTGAACAGAATCTAATATTCATTTATGTATTCAAAAAGTATTCATGGGTGCCTGGGTGGCTCAGTTGGTTAAGCAACTGCCTTCGGCTCAGGTCATGATCCTGGAGTCCCAGGATCGAGTCCCACATCCGGCTCCCGGCTCAGCAGGGAGCCTGCTTCTCCCTCTGACCCTCTCCCCTTTCATGCTCTCTCTCAAATAAATAAATAAAATCTTTAAAAAAAAAAACACAAGTATTCAGGTTCATCATGTATCACCTCAAAGTCGAAATTACAAACATGCATTATATCACTATGTTGGAGATGGACAGTAGAGCAAACACAATGAGAGAATTCTATTTAGATCTGTCACAACTACTATTAAGATATATCAACAAATATCCAAAACTGCCTTTGAATTTACTTCTGATTTGCATTACATAGTTAATGCTACCTTGTCTACTTCCTGTGTAGCCTCCGCCAGGTTTCTTCTTACTATACATGGAAACTACAGAATAGGAGAGAAAGTAAGTGATTCTTTAAGAGGGGACAGGTTTCCTTCCCTTTCTGTTCTTGGTTCATTTGGTTAACTATTTCTTACTATAGTTGTGCTTTCATGGTAACCACCTCTACTTTTAAAAGTAGATGACAGTAACAAGTGTTGGTAAGCATGTGTAGAAATTGAAACCCTCACAGTTGGTGGGAATGTAAAATGGTGCATCCACTGTGGAAAACAGTTTGGGAGTTCCTCAAAAGCTTATACAATATATGACACAGCAATTCCACTCCTAGAAATTTACCAAAGAGAACCAATAACCTGTGTTCATACAAAAACTTGTATAAATATGTTCATAGCATTATTCCTCACCAGCCAAAAAGTGGAAACCCAAATGTCCATCAACTGATGAGCCCATGATCAAACGTGGTATATCCATACAATGGAATACTAAGCCATAAAAAGGAATTAAGTACTAATGCAGGCTACAACATAGATGCACCTAGAAAACACTGCTGAGTGAAAGAAGCCAGGCACAGAAGGGCATAAATATTATGTAATTCTACTCATGCAAAATGTCTAGAAGAGGCAAAACCACAGAAACAGAAAGTAAATTAATGGTTTCCAGGGATTGGGAAAGGGAAATGTGACTGCTAATGGATAGGTTCTTTTGGGGTAATAAAAATGTTCTACAAATAGTGGTAATGGTTCAATCTTGTGCATATACTAAAAACCACTGAACTGTACATTTTTATCTGCATTCTTTTTTTTTTTTTTT